TGCTTGGTTCAAACAGTATGTTTATTTATTTCTAACCTGAAGGATTCAAGCACCAATATTAGCTATGATGAATTTCTCCATATTCACTTAGATTTAATATCCATAATTGATGTTATGCTCACTTTATATTTGTAATTGACTTTGAACCCACCTAGCAATATATATATATATATATATATATATATATATATATATATATATAATTGAGAACCATTTTGTTATTACCCTTGTAGTCCCACTACTAAAATCTTGTTTCTGCTAAAATCATGGATCCGCCATTGTCGATGCATCTCTTTGCTCTAGTTTGATGGATGAGTATTTTTGGCATAGCTTGTGCCTTCTGTACCATATGTGGCATATATCACTAAGAAATTATACAGGCCCTATGTATTCTTTTGCTTTTTTTTTCTTTATTTCACTTTTGTTCAAGTATCAATTTGTACATTCATTATCATGCTTTTACGGGTCCGTATGTGTTGAATTTGGCAGGACATTGTTAACAACATATGCGATGATGATGATATCAGGGCTATATCTTTTGTTGGTTCAAATACAGTAAGCAACCCTTCCCCTGTTTGAGAGATGGTTTTAACTTTTAGTTTGTCTAATTAGAATTTTGGTTTCCTTTTGTTATGCTCCTGCATGCCACATGGTACAGGAAATAGTGAATGGTTGTGCCCACACGGTTCTCATGCAATGTGTATATTCCAACTTTTTGCTACCCAGTTTTTGAATAGATTTGTGTTTCAGTTCTCTGGCATGGCCAGATAATCTCACGGGCATTCTGTTTTCCTTTCCATCTGTAAAGGGTGTCCAATTCCGGACAAGGCAGAAAATCTTGGGCCCTAAATATGAATTGATGTGAAAGAGAGGGCTTACTTTTGTTCTGTCATACCGTTTCTTGAATTTGGCATTTTATAATGCCTTAAGATACACACAAGGGAGAGCTAATCCCTAAAAGCTGTATATTGTTCAATCATTTATTTCCGGGTCTTGAGTTTTGGCATTGTAAGTGTACTTATTTTGAGGTGAAAAGTTTGTTATAAAATGCTATTAATGTGATAGGAAACACTTGTAGATCACCTTCAGTCTCTCTATTATCTTCATAATTTCTTCTTCCCAAAGGAGTTGTTTCCCCCCAAGTGTCCTAATCATCCCTTCTACATTCATACCCAAGCCCTTCATCAAATTCTCACATTCTCCTTTTAAATTTAGCACCCCTTGAATCATAACAAACCCCCTCCCCTTTCAAATTGAGCCCCCCTTTGGTCATAATTACCTATTTCCCTTTCCAATTTCGCCCCTCTTCTCTCTAAATCAGCACATCTTCGTTCTTTCCCTACCTTCTTACGCTTCTCCTCATACTCTCTATCTGGCTCCTCCCTAGGAATAGGCTCATGGAGAAGTATTCTCTCTTCTCCCTTTCGAGTCACCACCTCCTGATCTCCACTTTGCCTGATTGGCTTAGGATTTTTCCCATCTCCCTGGTTGTCGGCACTTTCCTTCCCCTCCGACGGTAATATTTTGGTTTGGCCCTCGAGCACTTTCTTCAACATCACTTCCCTGATGGAAAATTTTGAATCGAACTTATCATGGATGGCTAAAATATTCTTTTTTAAATCTGAAACTTGAGTTTGGAGATATGAAATTTCAGATTTCATTTGTCCAATCTCCACTTCGAGGCATTCCTCCAACGCATCCATTTTCTTGGCCGTCCATTGATGCCCGGAATTTTTTAGAAATAAAAATCTGAACTTCGACCTTCAAAAACAGCAACTTTCTTCTGCGAAATCCCGAGAACAACTGCTAAAATTCACCAAAACATCCCACTAAAGGTCCCAAAAACAGCTCTGATACCAATTTGATAGGAAACACTTGTAGATCTCAAGTATTTTCTATCAATCTTTGGAAAGCAGCGATAATTCTCCACAAAAATCCGCACAAAATCACAAAAACAGTAAATAATTTGTTTTATTTGATGAAAGGGAAACGGAAAATAGCCAGATACAATTGATCCTCTATTCGAGAGGAGGATCAATCTCTCTCAAATCTCTAGACGCCGCCAGAGCCTAAAGAAAAAACTAAATTTAGGAGATCTTAAATTTCAGCCAAATTCAAGATGACCTAACCCTAGGAAAACAAAGTATTTAATGCATACAAATCAAAATAAAATCCCTAAACAGTCCCTACATTCAAATTTCCCCCCCAAATCCCTCAAAAATCTCTCCTAAAATGGTTCGTTGACTTCGGCGGCTCACATGGCATCTGTAGGAGGTGGAAAAGTTCCGCCTCCATTTCGTTGAGACCGGCTGGACCGGTCCAATGGACCGGTCTAACATAATGTCAGGGAAATCAATCATATTCTACTTTTGTGTTAAGGATTATGATGTGTATATCAGCGGCTATGCATTATTAAAAGTTTTAACAACTATAATTTAATAGATTTTCTCAGCTGCTATTAGATGATAAATGTGGAATGTAAGACTGCTTCCTATGACTAAATTATTGCAAGTAGATATTGTCAGATGAAACAAGTATTTTGACGGTTTCCTATTCCGGTCAAAATTTTAAATGTGGTGATTATTGCCACACGATGGGTAATAATTTATGTCAGTGGTTTCTCTCTAGGCTGGAATGCACATTTATGCGAGAGCTGCCTCTAAGGGGAAACGAGTTCAGGTAAACCTGTTAATGAGAATTTGTCATATTCTTCGAAAACGCAAAAGTTGTTTTTTCCCCCACTATTTTTAACTGTTAGTAATTATAGTTCTTTCGCACAAGTAATAAAGTTATCTAAAGAAGATTTCCTTTCTCAGTCAAACATGGGTGCAAAGAACCATGCTATTGTCATGCCTGATGCAAGCATCGATGCAACATTAAATTCCTTAATTGCCGCTGGTTTTGGAGCTGCTGGACAAAGGTGCATGGCTCTCAGTACCGTTGTATTTGTTGGAGGATCAAGACCATGGTACTGTAACTAAAATTTTGAATTTATATTTTGATTTTCACCTGATACATTACGACAAATGTAGTTGCTCAAGCTTAATTTAGAAGCATTTCTGATGGGGTTACCTTGTTACTTGGGTCTGTTTAGGGAGGATGAACTGATTAAACGTGCCAAAGAATTGAAAGTAAATGCTGGCATTGAGGCTGGGGCCGATCTTGGTCCTGTAATTAGCAGACAGGTGTAGTTTAAGGAATATTTGCTTAAATAGTACTATGTTATAAAAATTTTATGTATTTATTTGTTACCGTGGGCTTGCA